AGGGGTGCAGATAACATCGATATTTCCAAAACAAATTACGTACCGCAAACGTTAACTTAAAATATTGATTTTCATTATACCTTTGAGGCTTTCAGTAAGTAAACTTCTAATCGCACCCTTTTCTCAGTTCTGTCGAAAATTATGTTAAGGTTGTGTCCGGGATTCAGGAGTGAGCAATGAGACTCAGCTAGAGTGAAAAAGTCTGTTCGGGATTCAGGGATGGGCGGGGTTCGCAACCTCAAACATGCTCACACATAGAACTAACTTCAGACTGGCCTTCATACAATGTCAGTGGTTGTGGGTAGCGATTATGACCTCAACAAACTTTATATGGCCACGCAGTTATTTATAGATCGATATTTGCACTGTCATAAACCTTTGCGTTATAAGACCTAAGTTACACAGCAAACGACTCTACAAATTCCCTCAAGTCTACGCGTATTGTAAGGGGTGCCTTTCTGTTACCACACTTACAGGCGTTATGCGAAGAGGCACTGCATCGGCTGTCCACAAAATGTGCTTCAGAATGTCGATCCTTATACACAGACCATCACTGCGTTTTAAAGTCCGTCAAAACAGCCAAACGGTTTCTCTTGAAACTTTATCAATGCCCCAAATGATTAAATTAATCATAGAAAAGAGGTGACTTTTGATGATGATCCACTGACATAGGGGAGGAACGACTTAAGCCATCGATTGACGAAGGCAACGAAGTTTGGCCAATGTTCATGCATCAATCCGGATTGACCTAAACCTTAGTGAGTTGAGATTTGCCTTTCAGCATACCGGGCGTTCAACAAGCCTACAGAGTCCGTAACACTATCACACAAACAAGATGACATGTGTTCATTTGGAAATGTGATGATAAATGTTTCGAGCACTATTTTTAAGTACTTTTCTATGGTTCTAGCATGTTAATATTACAACACGCTTGTATGTAATTTTTGATATCTTTATATTTCACTGAAACCGGTTCTTGTAATGCTCGCATGCGACTCCAAAGGGCACGGGTGGCGCAGTCATCTTTGGAGTCTCACATTCGCTGCCCAGAGTTGCGACATGTACTCCGCGTGCCAGAAACATATTGTCATGAGTTAGAATGCCATATCTCTCACGTTTCTATAGGTCTGTCAGATCCATACCCATGTTAAACGTATTTAAGACCTGTCCCATTTCGGACCTTCATCCCACACCAACCTGATGTAACTGAAACACTCTTCCAAGCGGAGTTAACCCCAGTTTACTCACTCACGCTCTTGGTCACAGATATTGCATGGCTGCAGCTCCAGTTCCCGGTGACTGTTTTTGCAACTGTTCTTAATGCAGCCAGTTAATGTTTGAAGTAGCTTTAACAAGGAAGTGACACCGGGAGAACGCATTAAACGTATGGCGATGCTTGAACAAGATTCTGACCTGATTCATTCTTGAGCGGCCTGCAGTACGATAAGCCGTGTAATATCCTCTTAGATCACAATCTATATGCATGTACACATACTACTAAATAACTAAGAACCTTTTCTGTGTAATATTATATTGCAACTCAGAGAGTTGACGACAATAAACGATAATAGCCTTAAAGGTTTAGCGACATACATTTGACAAGAAGTATACTTAAAAGTATACATTCTATCACAGTTATGTATCATTGAGACGATGTGTTTTCTTTCAAGCAGAACTTCATTGATTTTGAGCTACACGGTGATCAGCTCAGTTAATCATGTGTCGGGAGATCTGCAAGTTATACCTGTTTTTCTGTAATCGACGAGACTGCCTTGTCGAGAGAGCTGCATATATATCAGGTGTCACCTTTCAGTTACTTCCGAAGTATCCACGAGTTCTATAGATTGAGACACCGTGTCAAGGACAACAATTCCTACAGCTGATCATTACCACTTGTCGGAACAAATATTTAAGATCACTAACAAGGAGGTATGCACCTATTCGTATGGCAATGTCAAGTCAAGGTCCTACACTCGAATTACTAAGTATTACAGCTGTGCGTTGTCGCGATGGAGTGACATGTATTATACAGACATCACTAGGTGGTTAAACAGACACGGACTTGGTTTGCTGAGAGGCCACGACAGTCAATGAGCATACTGCACTGATGAAAGATACCTAGTCGTGTACCTTCACGATGCAAGGTTTCAAGACACGGTTCATCTTTTTTTAGTACCCACCAATAGTGGACATTTTAGTCATGGTGAACTGCACATTCGTGACCCAATATTAGCAAAGATTGTATTGGTATTATTCTCCTGCTAATCAGGAGTAATATGCTCTGCATTGATATCAAGGCACAGTGTGGTACTTAAGGATGAAATATTCCTGGACAGTCTACAGCTAGTAGTAATTGACCAGGTACCTTCTGGACCAAGTTTGTCTAGACAGTGTACAGCTGGAAGCATTTGGTCTGGTCACTTCAGGGTCAAATATGTTTTGACAGTATGAGGATGGTTACCCTTAGTCTTGCATCTTCAGGACCAAGTTTGTATGGGCAATGTATTGCCTGAAACATTTGATCTGATACATTTAAGAACAGGTATATATGGATAGTGTACATGTGGTAACATTTTGTCTGCCACCTTCAGAATCAAAGCTATCTTGACAGCCTACGGTTGGTAACATCGTATATAGTACCTGATGATCAAAGCTATCTTGTCAGCCCGCAGTTGGTAACATCGTATCTAGTTCCTGAGGATCAAAGTTATCTTGACAGCCTACCGTTGGTAACATCGTATCTAGCGCCTGAGGATCAAAGCTATCTTGACAGCCTACCGTTGGTAACATGGTATCTAGTACCTGAGGATCAAGGCTATCTTGACAGCCTACGGTTGGTAACATGGTATCTAGTACCTGAGGATCAAGGCTATCTTGACAGCCTACCGTTGTTAACATCGTACCTAGTACCTGAGGATCAAAACTATCTTGACAGCCTACAGTTTGTAACATCGTATCTAGTACCTAAGGATCAAAACTATCTTGACAGCCTACAGTTTGTAACATGGTATCGAGTACCTAAGGATCAAAGCTATCTTGACAGCCTACGGTTGGTAACATCGTATCTAGTACCTGAGAATCAAGGCTATCTTGACAGCCTACAGCTGATATCTAGTATCTTCAGGATCAAGTGTTTCTGATCAGTCGTCAGCTAGAACTATTTGATGCGGTACGTAAGAATAGAACAGTTTCTGGAAAGTGTACCAGTTGGCTATGTATGGTTTGGTGTACCTTAAGGATTACGTGATTCAGGACACTTGTATCCTTTCGTTGGGTAACTGTGTTGGACTGGCTGATTATGATCCGGAGTTACTTTCCGGTCATGTATTCCCGAACAGTGGGTGAATGATCTGATAGCCAAATGGTTGGCGTCTGAAGAGCCTACCCAATCAATATCACATCTAAATCAATATTCAGTAAGTTTACAACAAACTCACGTAGATCTTCGATCTGGAATCAACACATCTCCTTAGAGGTTTGAAAGGAAAATGCGGTTCTATAGACTTTAAAATCTAGATGTAACACGTCACCTTGGAGACTAATAACAAATAATTATTTCTGTAGACTTTGATATAGAATTAGGTGTGAGAATTATGTAGGGATGTGAACCTTCTGGTTAGAACAAACGCATCTCCCAGAACACATGATTTCAACAACGGGATCATATCATTAGGACTACTTCAAGCATATGCATGGGACACATATAGTCATGTGTATGGTGTGTTTACTCCAGTCAAACGTAACAACTAGGCGCTACTGTGAGACACGACCCCGACAGTAGCACGAAGACGGCGTCATCACCAACGTACTCTCAAGTAATGAGGACTGGCACCAAGTCTATTGCAAACATCCTTCTTGTCCCCTAGCTACGGGCTTGCGGAACATTGCACAAGTAGGCGTCGTGCATCACCTTTGCGCTCTACACAACAAAGTGGGAAGTAAGAACTCGTGTTCATATTTCTGGAGAGTAGGCTACCTATTTATATCCCTTTCTCCTTTCTATGGTCTGTCACATCTTGCATGATAGAATGCTGTGTTGCTATCCATGATCACCAAACCTGGGCTTATCAACCTCCATGTGGCTATATCCAAACAGCATGGTGATATGCTTTGTCTATGCATCCAAACCCTTATACAGAGCATTACCGCATCACTATAGAAACGGCAACCATTTCCTTCGGGTTTCACATCTGCCACGGAATGACAGATCATATTGACATCCCATCACTGACTCTCCCATTCCTGCAAATGCAGTGAACATTAGTCCAGCTCCAGTTATTCTGAATGACCCCGACCTGCCCAGCCTTACAACGTGACAGCAATATTCTTTTGACTTAACAACAAACAACTGTCGTCTGCCAAGGCGAGGAAAAAGCGGGTTCAGACAAGCGCTATCTGCCTCTCTGTACTCGCCCTAGGGGTTTTCTCACTGCGGGAAGCGTGGTGAAGCATATCTCTTGTCGACTACGAGCTAGCTAGAATGACCTGGTTTAGGTTTTTGAGCAGGTCGATTGTTTTACAGCTGGCCAAGGCCCCTGGCGCAAAGTTGTTAATGTTGGACTTTCAATGGTTCGCTCTCGACAATATATCACTATTTGAAAACAACTACACCTATGTTTGTGATCGAACATGACGAACGCTAGCGCGAAAGACAGTAAACAGGATATAAACGGCCATGCCTATAATTAGACACGTCCGCTTCTCAGGCAACTTGATCTGGTACGGGAATATACGCATTTGAGATATTGGGACGGTTGCAAACCAGATGCATTGGTAGCGATATTCACTCAACATATTCTCAGTGATTCGTGATAGATTTATCCTCTATCGATTCTTTACTAGTTCACTCTTGTTGGTATAGCAATCGATCCTGCATGAGTAGGTTAGTTCAGCTGAAGTCCAGAAGCCTTCAATGGACGTCCATTCTGCTTTCAAGTGGAGTGTTCACGTGCACGAGAGCACAACCCCACCTACTCAAGGCATCCGTCATATTACTCAACATGTATCGACATCCAATTTTAGATCTCTTGAGTCCAATCTGTACACAGCAGGTACAGGTATGTTAAACGGCGATTTCCACTTAGAAACAGCCCGTGCCAATAATTTAGAGGTAAATGTTTTTATTGACTTGTCACTCTTTGCCATAAACAATAAGAAGATTTCAACATTGAAATACTGGCTAACAGACAAACATTTCATGGCTGGACTGTGACCAAGCTGGGATATGCAGAGAATGTTCCCCCTGTTGTGAAGAGAGCGTATCTCATGCGACAACACACCGAAGCGCATACACACGTACGCACGCTCACGCTCACGCACACTCTTTTGTCACATGTTCATTCCTCGGGATGTCATAAGCAAATCCATAGCAAGTATCTAATACCGTCCATAGATTGTTTAACAGATGCAGGATGTAGTGTCGGGCGTCAGTTCTGTTCTTCAGGTGAACCCGGAAGTGCAGCTGAAGGCGGAAGGTGATGCAAGATACATTTACTTTCTCGTGGATCATGGCGGGCTGCAAAAGAACAGGAAATGAATCTCAGTTGCCCAGGCTAAGGCTGTTAATTTTTTTAATACCCGTTCATGTCGACACTGACATTGTGCGTGTGTGTGCGTGCGTACGTGCGGACGTGCGGACGTGTATATAGGCAATATTAGGACAACCGATAGGTGAATTTTCTTTAACCAAGCCATGCCTTATTCTGAACTTAATACACACGATTAAACCATATCCACAATAAGAAGTCCATTGTGCAATATACTTAGCATGTGGTTATATATTACTATTACATTTGCGAAAAGGGTAGCGTATCCAGCCCCACCGATGGCACCTGTCAAAGACACACGCAAAGACTAGTCAGTTGAAAACAATACACCGGCACATGTGGTACAAGTGAAAATAGGAAATAGTATCTATAAGGATGACCCAAATTTAAGAATGTCCTCAAAATGACTTTTACAGAACTGCTCCTGCAGTAGTACTTCACACAGAAGGAAATGTGTAATATTACAAAGTTAAAGTCATGGCTCTGGTCATACTATATTTTTGATGGCTACATTATGCTATTTTAAATATTTAGGCATAGCTTTAAATTACGGACCTGATGAGGTCGGTTTCAGTGGTAAGATCTACGTTTGATCGTCCGAGACACCCAAGGAGTAATGACACCGGTTTACAACCAGGTCGGTTCTGTGGCGGCTCCTTTCTCATTAGTTATTCCCTTCTACAGATCTTCTCACGTGGAGCTAACTGTCGGTGGCACTGTGGGAGACTCTTGGTATTCCCTGCCAGGTCGGAGTTCTTTCAACTGATCCTCCTGCAGCGCCGAACTCTCAGCAAGAACGCTTCGTTCTATGGTCTGCCAGTAGAAATGTACCGCTTGAAGGTAACATCAGGTATACATGTATTCCGTAACCTTCGTCATAGACAACATATTCAAGAGCTTATTTTGTGTATGTTCGTGTTGATTTCTGTCAAATATCCGAGTGATCTGAACAGATGCAACCAATACTTCAACAGAGAAACATCAAATATAGCGTACTATACAGATATACATTATTCTTTATCCTTAACCAGCCGCCATTGACGTCAATTTCTATTGGTGTAAGGGCGTTAATTAAGAGATGCCTCGTATTCCTTGTGTCTCACAGTCCCTTGACTATACTATTTTCCCACCACCAATAAGCCTAGGTAATTTTCTTTGTATCCCGAAACATATGGCATTCCTTGATAGATAAGACCAACCACAGAGTACAAGGAAATCACCATTATCTGTGGAATTATGTCCTTCCCAGTGATCGGTTAGGCAAAACTCGAGTTCGGTGTGTAATGAGAGTAGCACATTTAAAACAATACATTATTTGAAGTCCTGGAGTAATCACTGTTTTCATTTTTTTAAAATGCGAGAGGGGAATCAGCTCATATGGCAGAGGTACCAACGTGCACTACCAATCTACACGGGGCGGTAGGGCAGCATAGTGCTTAAAGCGTTCGCTTATCAAGCCGAAGACCCGGGTTCGATTCCCCACATGGGTCAAGTGAGTGAGATATTGCTGGAATATTGCTAAAAGCGGCGTAAAAGTAAAACTCGCTCACTCACTCACCAACCCACACAGCAACACAAGACCTGAGGGAATAAACAATCACTTTATTAGCTCGCCACAGAGTGATTTGTGATTGTCCGTCGTCCGAATTTTAAACCGATTCTGGCTACTACTGAAAATCTCGTTTACTGATCAAACTGATGATAAGTTGTTATGGCCGAAGCATTTACGACAACTGTGTACCGGTATAATAGTTGACCAGTTGCTAGTATGCCACGAATGTATACGTGGTCCGTTCGATTTGATGAACGTGGAATATACACTTTGAGGTAAATACAGATAAATGCATTGCACCTTTGGGCTTGTCAGTAAGTGATACTTGTCCGTGATTAAGTCCTATGCTCGTTATCAATGTGTCCGATGCTCGTTATCAGTGTGTCTCTTGTCTAGTTTTAGACATGGCGAAACATGGGTGGTTAGTTCGGAATATTCACAGTGTCCAATCGCACATAACGTGCTAAAATATTTTTGAGACTTTCTCAATATCGTCCATGTTTATAATGCGTTGTTAAATTACACGTGTACCCATCATGAAGATGACCGAAACTTGTTGACGTGTTATATCTGGCGCAGCCCGCTGTAAACATCAGTGCCGGGACAATGATCAGATTTCCTGGATTTCTTCTGCTCAGCGGCCTTGGCGTTAGATGTTAGCACAGTCGCTAAGGTCGGTTTGTGGAGAGGCGCCATGTTCTGCGTTCCCCACTTGGCGACCACTGACTAATGGATGCAGGCAAACAAGATCTGTCCGTGTCTCTATGGAGTCTCGTTCCACAAAGCTATTTCAACACTGCAAATGCTGTCATTCTCCTTAGTCGTCCGTCTGTACCTGAACGTATTTTCCGTTCTACACAGGCCTTACTAAACAAATCTGAAATAAGGTAGGCTAAATTTCCCCTAGTACACAAGGAATTTCCCACCTTACTGGGGCTCTTTATATTCTAATGGAGTCCTTTGTTTCTGTCATATTTAGATATTAGAAACTTAGCGTTAATCTATCACCTTAGTCCTGAGATCTTTGTGGAACAGGGTCGCCTGTATTGGGTGTCTGATAGTGTTAATTATATACGCTGAAGGGGTCGTTGTCGGCACAGGTACTACAGATACGTACCCCAGGTACCTTTCTGTATACAGATATGTACCCTAAACAAAGTCAAAATACAGAAACGTACCCCTAAAAGGCGGACGAGTCCATATTCCGTAATCCAAAAGCGAAACCGTAAGTACTTGTTCCCGTTCAACTGATTCCGAGTGGTATTCATGTGCATCGCGAAATATCCGTTACTGTGTATTCTTATTATTTACATAACGCAATCAAATGTATCTAATACAACAGTATGACAGTTCCAGTCAAGAATACGACACAATGGGAATGGAATCGTCCTAGGGTACGTTTCTGTATTCTCATTATGGCCAAGGTACGTTTCTGTATACAGAAACGTACCTGGGGTACATATCTGTAGTACCCCTGCCGACCTGGTTCTGGTCAACTGAAAATTATTCCAGTGGCAGATGTAATTGATGACGATGTGGGAGGTGCAGAGGTTGTTACAATTCTCTATCTGTATGAAATATTCGGAGCTCCCATGTGGATGGGATGTAGGGTTTTGAAGAGATCGTTCACTGTCAAGAGGACAAGACCATAACACATATAGTGCTCCAAGGGGCAGTCGAGTGGCAACTGAAATTTGTTCATCCATTCTCTTTGCTCGGGATATATATATAATCCTAAACGAAACATAACACTTACTATGTACTGGTATCCATACAATTCATTGTGTATAAGAGGGCATCTTTAAAGAACGTGTGTAGTGGATGCATTACAGCTGGAATCTGCCCAAATGGCAGTTTGGTTCTAGTAGACTCCACGGATTGTGCCTTAGACTAACGCTTAGTCCCTGATTATATGTGAGGTCACCGAGACGCTGTGTGGTTTCTCTTGAGAAGGTTTCATAGAAGATCCTTTCACTCTTAGCTCACTAAAGTCCTTGTAAGATCCAACACTGAAGTGATTAACACTGACACCATGCTACAACATCATGTAGGACGCCAGTACTCATGAATCTGGTCTACAGCGCCATGAACCTCATCTACAACTGCATTCAGACAGCAGTCACCTTACCCTCCAGCTACGTGTGGATATATGGCAGATTAGCTCCTGGCTGGGTATTTCGATTCTGACAATACAACTCGACCGCCTCGACAGACCTTAATGGCCTCTACAGCCGACAGGCATCACTGTAAGGAGATTGTGACAAGATGTCGCGCTAGAACGAGGCCGATCAGGATGCGCCAGATTACTTGTATTTCTGACAGATGAAACGAAAACGGGAAAACTTTAGGGGTTACAGAGTAGGCCTCGATATGTGAGAAATACAGTGCCAGGAGAGTTGCATTGTGTCAGTGTTAAGAAAGGCTTCGCTGTGTCACTTTATACTTCACCGAGTATCAAAAGTGATTGAGTGTAGGAGACATTATGGTTTCAGTTAGGCCGTCTCACTGTCCCGGAACCCTTTCTCTCTACCCTATAAAGCATTATGCGTCAACAGTACTACCTTTATGTGTTAACAATACTATCATGTACCAACAATACTATCATGTACCAACAATACTATCATTATGTGTCAACAATACCATCATTATGTGTCAACAATGCTGTCATTATGTGTCAACAATACTATCATTATGTGTCAACAATACCACCATTATGTGTCAATAATACTATCATTATGTTTCAAAAATAATATCATTATGTGTCAACAATACTATCATTATGTGTCAACAATACTATCATTATGTGTCAACAATGCTGTCATTATGTGTCAATAATACTATCGTTATGTGTCAACAATACTATCATTATGTGTCAACAATACTATCATTATGTGTCAACAACACTATCATTATGTGTCAACAATACTATCATTATGTGTCAACAATACTATCATTATGTGTCAACAACACTATCATTATGTGTCAACAACACTATCATTATGTGTCAACAACACTATCATTATGTGTCAACAATACTATCATTATGTGTCAACAACACTATCATTATGTGTCAACAACACTATCATTATGTGTCAACAACACTATCATTATGTGTCAACAACACTATCATTATGTGTCAACAATACTATCATTATGTGTCAACAATGCCACCATTATGTGTCAATAATACCATCATTATGTGTCAACAATACCATCATTATGTGTCAACAATACTATCATTATGTGTCAACAACACTATCATTATGTGTCAACAATACTATCATTATGTGTCAACAATACCATCATTATGTGTCAACAATACTATCATTATGTGTCAACAATACTATCATTATGTGTCAACAATACTATCATTATGTGTCAACAAGTCTATCATTATGTGTCAACAATGCCATCATTATGTGTCAACAATACTATCATTATGTGTCAACAATGTTATCATTATGTGTCAACAAGTCTATCATTATGTGTCAACAATGCCATCATTATGTGTCAACAATACTATCATTATGTGTCAACAATGTTATCATTATGTGTCAACAATACCATCATTATGTGTTACAATTACAACCATTACATAACATACTCATGCGAGTTTTTAGTGTTTTCCCTGATAACTTTGATTGCATCAAAAAACTAATACGCAACGATATTGTAGTTATAAAGTTGATATTTTAGGTGACAAATTCAAGTCTGTTTATTTCTATATTTCATCATCTGTCCCAGTATTATATATATACCAACTGATATCTAAGGCGTTGTAACTTTATCTGGGGTATCCAGTAAAAGATAACGAGATCATTTAGCATTTATTAACTCCTCGGCATAAGTCCTGTTATCTAACAACACTCCCTAATGTTACGTAACCCACCCTTACAAATTCACATACATAGATGCCACGCCTTTCTGTGCAATGTATTATCATATTACACGTAGGATAAAGAGAGGTTGTCCCTTACGTACAGATTACATATGTATGACAATATCTGGTTTATTGCATAGAGCGACGTTTCGATGTAGATTCTTACACTGTAGTCATTGTAGCTTGATAACGGTCACCCATAAAGGTGTAGCCTATTCTCCGCCCTTTCTCACCAACACCTATAAGCGCCTAGATACTTATCCTTTTCTCAGCTCTAGCAGTCTGTACTCTTCCCCCTCTCAGCTCTAGCAGTCTGTACTCTTCCCCTTCTCAGCTCTAGCAGTCTGTACTCTTCCCCATCTCAGCTCTAGCAGTCTGTACTCTTCCCCTTCTCAGCTCTAGCAGCCTGTACTCTTCCCCTTCTCAGCTTTAGCAGTCTGTACTCTTCCCCTTCTCAGCTCTAGCAGTCTGTACTCTTCCCCTTCTCAGCTCCTGCAGTCTGTACTCTTCCCCTTCTCAGCTTTAGCAGTCTGTACTCTTCCCCTTCTCAGCTCTAGCAGCGTGTACTCTTCCCTTTCTCAGGTTTAGCAGCCTGTACTCTTCCCCTTCTCAGCTTTAGCAGCCTGTACTCTTCCCCTTCTCAGCTTTAGCAATCTGTACTCTTCCCCTTCTCAGCTCTAGCAGTCTGTACTCTTCCCCTTCTCAGCTCTAGCAGCCTGTACTCTTCCCCTTCTCAGCTCTAGCAGCCTGTACTCTTCCCCTTCTCAGCTCTAGCAGTCTGTACTCTTCCCCTTCTCCGCTCTAGCAGCCTGTACTCTTCCCCTTCTCAGCTCTAGCAGCCTGTACTCTTCCCCTTCTCAGCTCTAGCAGTCTGTACTCTTCCCCCTCTCAGCTCTAGCAGTCTGTACTCTTCCCCTTCTCAGCTCTAGCAGCCTGTACTCTTCCCCTTCTCAGCTTTAACAGTCTGTACTCTTCCCCTTCCCAGCTCTAGCAGCCTGTACTCTTCCCCTCCTCAGCTCTAGCAGCCTGTACTCTTCCCCTCCTCAGCTCTAGCAGCCTGTACTCTTCCCCTCCTCAGTTCTAGCAGTCTGTACTCTTCCCCTTCTCAGCTCAAGCAGTCTGTACTCTTCCCCTTCTCAGCTCTAGCAGCCTGTACTCTTCCCCATCTCAGCTCTAGCAGCCTGTACTCTTCCCCTTCTCATCTTTAGCAGTCTGTACTCTTCCCCTTCTCAGCTCTAGCAGTCTGTACTCTTCCCCTTCTCAGCTTTAGCAATCTGTACTCTTCCCCTTCTCAGCTCTAGCAGTCTGTACTCTTCCCCTTCTCAGCTTTAGCAGTCTGTACTCTTCCCCTCCTCAGCTCCTGCAGTCTGTACTCTTCCCCTTCTTAGCTTTAGCAATCTGTACTCTTCCCCTTCTCAGCTCCTAGCAGTCTGTACTCTTCCCTTCTCAGCTCTGGCTTCTTCCCTTCTCAGCTCTGCAGTCTTCCTCTTCCCCTTCTCAGCTCTAGCAGCCTATACTCTTCCCCTTCTCAGCTCTAGCAGTCTGCACTCTTCCCCTTCTCAGCTCTAGCAGTCTGTACTCTTCCCCTTCTCAGCTCTAGCAGTCTGTACTCTTCCCCTTCTCAGCTTTAGCAATCTGTACTCTTCCCCTCCTCAGGTCCTGCAGTCTGTACTCTTCCCCTTCTTAGCCTTAGCAATCTGTACTCTTCCCCTTCTCAGCTCTAGCAGTCTGTACTCTTCCCCTTCTCAGCTTTAGCAATCTGTACTCTTCCCCTTCTCAGCTCCTGCAGTCTGTACTCTTCCCCTTCTCAGCTTTAGCAATCTGTACTCTTCCCCTTCTCAGCTCCTGCAGTCTGTACTCTTCCCCTTCTCAGCTCCTGCAGTCTGTACTCTTCCCCTTCTCAGCTTTAGCAGTCTGTACTCTTCCCCTCCTCAGCTCCTGCAGTCTGTACTCTTCCCCATCTTAGCTTTAGCAATCTGTACTCTTCCCCTTCTCAGCTTTAGCAGTCTGCACTCTTCCCCTTCTCAGCTCTAGCAGTCTGTACTCTTCCCCTTCTCAGGTTTAGCAATCTGTACTCTTCCCCTTCTCAGCTCCTGCAGTCTGTACTCTTCCCCTTCTCAGCTTTAGCAATCTGTACTCTTCCCCTTCTCAGCTCTAGCAGTCTGTACTCTTCCCCTTCTTAGCTTTAGCAATCTGTACTCTTCCCCTTCTCAGCTCCTGCAGTCTGTACTCTTCCCCTTCTCAGCTTTAGCAATCTGTACTCTTCCCCTTCTCAGCTCTAGCAGTCTGTACTCTTCCCCTTCTCAGCTCCTGCAGTCTGTACTCTTCCCCTTATCAGCATCAGTCTTCTAGCAGGCTATACATATTCTAGAGCGATTTCTTGTGCACATCCTTCACCCAAGGGCATACAGACATTGTTCTGCTTGATATACAGCTTCAAAGACTCCAGAACCTGCACAGGTGCCCGAAGCCATCTTGTTGTGAAGGTAGGCTGAAGGCCTAGGGGGCACACCCCTGTGCAATTACTTACAATGACTGATGTCTGTCATACCATGTATGGCTGTCCGTATGGGAGACAACAGCGTGGAATAACTCGACGATGTCTGTCAGACCATCGCGAGATCACGGTTTGTTAGCTCACCGCGAGACTATCAACACTAATGCCAGCGTATGCACACCATAAACGTTAGCTGTAGACTTTGTATCACCGAGTATCATTACCTACTCTTTATCCATCCGAGGGTTTGTGAGACAACACTGACAGTCTGTATGCTCGTCACCTAGATTGTTTGCTAGCCCACTGCAAACATGTTTTGAACCACTGAAGGATGACTGTACGTTAAACAGTTACGGGAGCCCAAGCCATACGTTAAATGACGTCCAAGCCCCGAGATTCCCAAATACAACAGATTACCTCCACATGCCGTGTATGGCCTGTCCATGAAGGTAAACCTTCACCGCCTGATGGAAGTGATTTATGTGACACTGAAGATCACAACTACCGTATTTGAGGATGATAATGACAATATGATAATGCTCAGTAAAAGCCACATCGTCAGTTCTGACTATCATATATATTCTCTCGATTTCACCTATATTCTCTTTTTCTTTTCCGACTATTTGCAGTTGATATCATCTCTGACGGTGATGAGGTCACAGCCGGGACAAATATCCTCAGTCACCAGATTGTAGCGTTAGATCAACGACAGCGGCATCACAGACCAGTCAACACCAACACCAGCTGTGACGCCGACCTACGTGCTCCCCAGCCACGGTTGTATGTGGACCATACGCTGATGTCGGTTGAATCCGCCTCAAGTGATAGCCCGTCTAGAGAGCTGGCAGAATGTCAAGAGAACGCGGAGTGCATCACCGGGCTGACAGGAGATTATGTTTGTGCCCAGTTCACGTGATTGGAGGCTTAATCGGATGGGCACTGGGCACCAAACGTTAGTGGCAGAACGTGAGGTAGTTGTGATCGATGTCTTCTACAGATACGACGGTGTCGTCACCCTCCAAAATCTCCCTACTGTTGATGACGTCGTGCAGACTGTAAGGTGCCTGTTCAGGAAGGAAAAGAATGCCCTAGTGTTTGATCTTCTCCTTCTGGGAACACCGCTTCATCATGTGCTACACTGCTCAATAGAACACCTGCTTGTTTGTGGAATTAATCTCTCATGTCATGACAAGTTGACTTCAGTAATATATAAACATGGTTCTACAAGTACTCCAGAGTAGGATGTATACACATTGCAATCAACACCAGGTGTCTCTGTGAAAGGGTTTCTCACGAAAGAATAATAAACTATTCGATATCTTGTACTGAAAACCCCTCGCATAAAATAAAGTATTTCCCAATATCTATCTATTTCAAACAGTTACTAATGGAACAGATCCAGATGACAGTCCCAGAGGTTAAAAACGTTATTTCCAGTGGAACTTTCAGAGTACTCTGTATTATCTCTGAATCTACGGAAAGTGCTGAGATATTATCTGAAGCACCGAGCTTCTTGCTATTGTCATCGTTAAACATTCCACCTTTGTGGTTCCATAGGCTGACCGCGGCCGTCAGTTCTGTTATTCATGTGCCGACAAGTTGGAAAGGTTGAAATACTGCGTGAGGCCCTGTCCACCATAAGTATAAACATATGAATATAGCAGTTTTAGGAGATCCCTACCACCGATAAGATTGACAGGGCAATATACTTCAGCTTATAAGATGTCGAAGAGAGACCATGCCACACACAGGAACATTCAAGGTTTTGGTGCTGAATATGACCATGCTGTTCTAAAGACTGGAACTTACAGATTATTGGTGGGGAATATGACCATGCTGTTCTAAATACTGGAACTTACAGATTATTGGTGGGGAATATGACCATGCTGTTCTAAAGACTGGAACTTACAGGTCATTGGTGGGGAATATGACCATGCTGTTTTAAATACTGGAACTTACAGATTATTGGTGGGGAATATGACCATGCTGTTCTAAAGACTGGAACTTACAGGTCATTGGTGGGGAATATGACCATGCTGTTTTAAACACTGGAATTTACAGGTTATTGGTGGGGAATATGACCATGCTGTTTTAAATACTGGAACTTACAGGTTATTGGTGGGGAATATGACCATGCTGTTCTAAAGACTGGAACTTACAGGTCATTGGTGGGGGATATGACCATGCTGTTTTAAACACTGGAATTTACAGGTTATTGGTGGGGAATATGACCATGCTGTTCTAAAGACTGGAACTTACAGGTCATTGGTGGGGGATATGACCATGCTGTTTTAAACACTGGAATTTACAGGTTATTGGTGGGGAATATGACCATGCTGTTCTAAAGACTGGAACTTACAGGTCATTGGTGGGGGATATGACCATGCTGTTTTAAACACTGGAATTTACAGGTCATTGGTGGGGGGGATATGACCATGCTGTTCTAAAGACTGGAACTTACAGATTATTGGTGGGGATATGACCATGCTGTTTTAAACACTGGATGATTATTGGTGGGGAATATGACCATGCTGTTCTAAAGACTGGAACTTACAGGTCATTGGTGGGGATATGACCATGCTGTTTTAAACACTGGAATTTACAGGTTATTGGTGGGGAATATGACCATGCTGTTCTAAAGACTGGAACTTACAGGTCATTGGTGGGGGATATGACCATGCTGTTTTAAACACTGGAATTTACAGGTTATTGGTGGGGAATATGACCATGCTGTTCTAAAGACTGGAACTTACAGGTCATTGGTGGGGGATATGACCATGCTGTTTTAAACACTGGAATTTACAGGTTATTGGTGGGGAATATGACCATGCTGTTCTAAATTCTGGAACTTACAGGTCATTGGTGGGGGATATGACCATGCTGTTTTAAACACTGGAATTTACAGGTCATTGGTGGGGAATATGACCATGCTGTTTTAAATACTGGAATTTACAGATTATTGGTGGGGAATATGACCATGCTTCTAAAGACTGGAACTTACAGGTCATTGGTGGGGATATGACCATGCTGTTTTAAACACTGGAATTTACAGGTTATTGGAATATGACCATGCTGGTCTAAATTCATGCTGGAACTTACAGGTTATTGGTGGGGGATATGACCATGCTGTTTTAAATACTGGAATTTACAGGTTATTGGTGGGGAATATGACCATGCTGTTTTTAATACTGGAATTTACAGATTATTGGTGGGGAATATGACCATGCTGTTCTAAATTCTGGATCTTACAGGTCATTTGTGGGGGATATGACCATGCTGTTCTAAATACTGGAACTTACAGGTCATTGGTGGGGAATATGACCATGCCGTTTTTAATACTGGAATTTACAGGTTATTGGTGGGGAATATGACCATGCTGTTTTAAATACTGGAACTTACAGCTTATTGGTACGGAATATGACCATGCAGGTCTAAATACTGGAACTTACAGATTATTGGTGGGGAATATGACCATGATGTTCTAAAGACTGGAACTTACAGATTATTGGTGGGGAATATGACCATGCTGTTCTAAAGACTGGAACTTACAGATTATTGGTGGGGAATATGACCATGCTGTTCTAAAGACTGGAACTTACAGATTATTGGTGGGGAATATGACCATGCTGTTCTAAAAACTGGAACTTACAGATTATTGGTGGGGGATATGACCATGCTGTTCTATAAACTGGAACTTACAGATTATTGGTGGGGAATATGACCATGCTGTAGTAGAGACTGGGACTGACCTGTCAAGGCCCTTGACGGGGATTATGACCATCACCTTTCACAAAAAGGAACTGACAAGCTATTTGTTTGATACGTGAACCTGATGTAGGTGTTAGATGTATATGTATGCGCAGGTGTAAGTATAAGTGTGGATGTAGGTGTTGATGTAGGTGTACTTGTAGGATGAGATGACAATGTGATGCGCTTATCAAGTGACGTTTCACAAAGTAAATCTTATACTATAACATGGCAGTTCCAGCGCTAAGATGATCGTAATTCCCATAGTTAAACACAGGCTTACAATATTCGTAGCGGTTTGATTGCGTCGTGACAACCAAAGGATTACGAATGTGCTCTGCGGCTCCTGTGACGAAGCAATCTTTACGAAGGTTAACCGTTACTCCCATTCTTTAACAATGCACTAAAGTTAACCGTAACTCCCATTCTTTAACAATGCACTAAGGTTAGTGCTTTGTGAAAGGAGGCCCCGATCTGTTGACCGGAATAATGCCGGACTTGCCTTGAGTTGTATATGTGTCCCGCTTCTATTATATTTAGTACTTCCTGTAAGATGAAATATTATTTGTGGATCTACGGGCCTGTTGATGAGCCTAAGGGTTGATATGAGAGTGATTATGAATCTATGTCGCAATCATATCAATGATATGTTAGATGGTTATGTGCAGTCCGTCCAGCGGTGATACAGTTCCCCTGTATACGTAGCACGGTAAAACAAACAGCGGTTGAAGTAATAGCCATGGGAAGTAGTTTCACACCTCACACAGCCGACCAGTAGTTCTCGGAGCACGCCAGCAGCCCTGTACCTGTCGAGCCCGTTACACACGACCTCACTCCGTGTAAGCTAGGTCCGGCTGGGGCACGTCAGCACATACCAACCTATACATGTCACGTCCTGCTAGTCCCAATATCTTCACACGAAAGAGGTCACCAAAGAAGTTTAAGTGTGAGAGCTGCAGTTCAGAAAAAAAAAGACGCACTGACTCTATCTAAAACATGAAGTGCTGAATTAAGTCTATATAGATCATAGGCATTTACATCATCAGTCATCAAATGTCAGTCGTTACTCCGTGGGGTGGTCTTTGGCTTTACTCTGCCTCGAGGGGCATATTCCCGTCCTAATCCAGTTGGGTTTTGCGCCGCTTTGAACAGCATTCCTGTTCAAATTTATAGATTGCAATTATAGGACCTCTATGTAACGCTGAGTAAGGATGCAAGCCATGTAACCAACATAGACCCAACCGCATGATGAATTGTATGTACTATGGCTAACATATACCATAGTCCCTAGAAATATGACCCATGCGCAAAATGCAGGACCATGTTTTGTACTATGACCCATATTCAACAGTAATCGCAACAATATGGCCTGTACATACTTGCATATGAACTAGAGGCCATTGTGTTTACAAAGTTGATGTCCTGATTGAGCTCACAAGGGATCGCCAAGCCATTGGCCCAATGGTAGCTGCGCCCAAAAACGTACATACAAATGTAACTCTTTGCTACGACTTCGTAGCTTGGATCTGCTACGGAGTTTCTGTCCGACGTCAGCTGGTTGTACGGCTTCTTAGCTACGACTTCGCAGGTAGCCCAATGTGTACGTGTGTCACAGTTGTAGCTGATTGCTGGGGTGTCAAGTCTTCATGCTCACGACTAATGGCTACCAGCCATGGCTTGAGACCTGAAGTAGCAACACGCGATGTGTAGCATTGTCGGTTTTAGGGGTCAGTACATAACGTTCCTGAACTACCTCAGTGCCAGCTGCTAGTCATGCTCTGATAGCTATGTTGTAGCCTATTGTATGCCTGCACTCGGTCGCTTACACCACGAACACAGCTGACATATTGCTTCCGTGCCAAGTTTGACATTGTCTCTGCTTGCTTGTCACATGCTTGAGTCAGTTCACCGGATCATGTACACACTACAGTCATGTGTTTAGGACTTTGGCTTATTAAATATCATAGGACACTTGTTCGTGTTCTGCGTATATTGGTTGCTTGGGTCAAAAAGTATAGGTTAGGACGTTGGAGTCCGTGCCATATGTTTCCCTTATACGATTGATCTAAACAGATCAACGCCGAAAGAACTGCTATCTCATTTTTCGTTTGTCTTAATTATTATTCTAGTGATTAATTGTTATTATAGTGTAAGACTCGGACATGGTATTAAATAGAGATCTAGACTTTTGCAACGTGGCACGGGTAATATAGTAAGCTAATTTTGCCTGTGTCCTCTATCACGTCTTACTCAACGACGACTCAAAGGCCACAGCAGGCAAGTATAATCGCCAGGCAAACATGGCGCTCTGAAGCCCTTCCGTGGCGCACTGAGGAATTCAAGCACAGGTCAACCGTCTATTCAGGTCCTCGATCTCCTTCAGCACTTTGTAGTCAAATCCTTCCAGAAACACATTATCTGTCAGACCCAGTCGCCCGGGGGAGAAGGCGCGCGCTAGTCAATAGGGTTGCCATAGCAACGTGCTAGTGTACCTCGACCTGGCAGAGCAGCCGACACTTAGCGGCAGCTGATCCCGACGCTGCAGTGGATGCAGCTCTGTTGAGCTCTGGACGAAGTCTCTGGTTTCTCATGATACACAGATGTGCTCCATGCTGATATGAAAATGCAACCTGGTGTGTAGACAGGTGCGATAGGATGTATGAAATGGATGAATCATACAGCTATTGTTCATTTGTTGACAATCCACATCATAGTATAGTAATGTTTTTAGGACAGTGGTAAATTACAACACTCATCTATTTTGGCACTGACGTACTTCCTGGTCAGTACTTTTTCAGGAGAACACTTAACCTCCTATTGCATGTGTTCGTCACGGGTGTCAACAGTGGGGCAGAAGAAGTTCACCTTCTACCGAACACCTTATAGCATCATTTTGTGAAGGGCGCATACTTTGGAAAGGGTTTTATCGCCTATATTTACGAAACACACAGATAACAAGTTCATTGTCCAAGAGACGCACTTTATTGTATCTCTTGGATATGTGTGATAATGTTCCAGAACATGATATCAGACTGGTCTCAGTCACAGATCTGTCAGAAGTAGTAATGACCTCAAGGTCAAGGACGCTTCATTACGTTAGGACGAAGGTTATGCATGCGCACTTATCAGTGCATCAAGTTTCCTTTCAGATAGCAAACAAAACAGTTGATCTGCACATGGGCCAGATATCGATAAGTCGTCTCTGCTGTGCCAGATCAAATGACGTCATCCCAACGTTCAGAATACATTAGTAAAGGG